AGTAATCCAATAATTGAGGGGCCTAGGGGTCGACCTCTGCCCTCTGACCAACACCGACTGTGACCTGTCCGAGAGGTAGGAGGAGAACCATCGAAGGACGGTGCCTCCCACTCCCACCTCTAATGAAGGAGCTTGCTGGGCAGTTTTTTACATAACTGTCTTCTGAATGTTTATTGGGAGGGAAACCATTGTTACATTTGGCCACAACCTTTTTCATTAAGATCAAGTGTGTTAATGTTGATTTCAATTAACCTGTATCACTTATTTTTAAATATATAAGATTTTGTATTCACGCCAAATTATATACAAATTAATTTTTTGTTAATGATTTTTCTTCTTCTTTGGTGATAATTAACTGCCAAAACGTAACTTGTATCTTACTCGCAAAGTTATCTGTGAAAAAGCTATTTAAATCACATCCCTGTTTATAAATTGTGTTTAAAGAAAATAGGAAGCGTTTCTGCAAACTGATACAACTGATAAAATTTAGCTTAGTCCCAAAGTAGTCTTCTGAATTAAATAAATGTGACTTGGAAACGTACCTTGATGAAATATCTCTGTACTGTCATGTGGATTATAAAAATTATATATAGACACTATTATTATTTTTTAAGATAGTTTAATTTTTGTTTCTAGAAAGAAAGGCTTTATGAAGGAATTATGTGCTTTTTCTTAAGCTTGTCATTCTCTCTGAAGTTTTGTTTTTGTGAACTCTAAAAGCCCCTTCACTGACTCCATATGCTTGAATTTACCCATTGTGCAGACATCTATCAAATGGGCCATCAGTAGCAGTCGACAAGCAGTATTACATCCAAGTTTTTAAAAATTCCTTTGATTACTACAGATCCATAGAGCCCTTGGGTCCAGGGCTTCTAGTGTAGCACAGCTATTTGCAAATAGATTTTTATAGCACATTAGAGCTGGCGGAGAGTCCAAAAAAAATAGCCTTTTTCAGTATTAGAACCAGCTGTGGCTTTTTTGCTTGGATGAGTCATTCGTATTTTGGTGAAGGAGGGGGGGGGGAGTACTAGCAAAGGACACACAGAGCCTTATTCAAGAGTTTGTTTGTTTTTGCAAAGGGTATCCTAGCCACAAGCCAACTTGATCATATTAACTCTATGTTTATTCAAAGCACTTTCTTTTTCTTTCAACAGTTCCAATTATAAAAACAGAACCTTCTGATGATTACGACTCTGCTCAAACCTGTGGACCAAGGAGCCATGGATTAAGCCCTCTCTCCAAACCGTATTACAGCCAGCAGATCATGATGCCTCCTGATCCTGGCTCGTGCCTTGTAGCTGGCTTCGCTTCCTGTCAGCAGAGAAACACTGTGATGTCATCATCTCCCAGCTCTAGTCCTAAGCTGCATGATCTTTCCTCTCCTGCTTACAAGTGCATCACCAACCCAGGCCATAATCATCTAGGACTTCAGCAGACGGCTGGAGGTGTCCCCACCATACAGGAAGTGCCAAGGTCTATTGTTGTGCACCCAAGCTCTCCCGATCAGTCATCTCACATCATGCTGCAGCCGCAGGTGAGTCAACATCTGAGCAGTACCTGTTCCCTTGGTAATCAACAAGCACTCTATCCCAACAGTCCCTCCTCTCCAGTTCCATCTGTAACCCAGGAGTCAACCTATTTGCAGTCCTGCAGTCCAACTCATTCAACTGCAATGGGCCAACAGCAGCTGCCGAATGTTCAAAGAAATGAAATTCCAGCAAATCAGCCACTGTCGTTGACCGACTTGCATGAGGACAATAATCATAATTTGGCCCCTATGCCCGTAACAGTCAAGCAAGAACCTGAAGAATTGGACCAGTTATACCTGGATGATGGTAAGTCTGCAGATGTAGAGGTTTGTGTTCAGCCATGTTGTGTTGAGCCATTGAGTTATTGTAGCCTTGTGGAATATTCAGGAAAGGGGAAGCTGACAACTAACAGTTTTGTGGAATGGCACAGAAGTCTGATTGGGTGACATACCTATGGAAAAAATTATTTACTGTTGTCAACATTAATGAAAGTCCATTACTTAAACATTAAACACTATTAGTCATTGTTAAAGTATCTGCACGTCCAAAACTACAGTATAATAACGTTAACCATTATTGGTCTTGGCTTAAGCCATAGCCAATGGCAAGTAGAATGACATTGAAAGCTATCCATCATATAGCAGCTTGAAATACATAAGCCACTAGTTAGAATTGAATGATGAAAAAGTGTTATATTTTATCTAAGAATACCTATGTTTAAAAAGGCACAAATTCTAGTGTCTGAAATTAAAGCTGTTTCCATTGCCACATGAAAAAATATTTGTTTTGAATTATAAATCCTAGCTATTTTTGTACATACATCTACATATTTCATACATGTATATTCTGCATGCACCATTGCATTGCTAAAATGCTACACTGAATTTGTCCAGCTTCCAAAAATTGAATCATTTAAAGCAATAAAAGATGAAATCTGGAATTTTATTGCATTACTTCACTGAACTGTGATGCAGTGTTTAAAGTCCTGAATATTGTGATGTTTGACCTAATGTCCTTCCAAAAGAAATTCCTTTGAATAGATTTATTTTTTCAAACAATATAATACTTAAAATTCTCTTGTAATAGAAATTAACAAGATAGCCTCTTTGATTTAATGGGAACCAATCATTAAGGAACCATGCTAGAAACCAGGTGACTGAGAATTCTAGTCCTGCCTCAGGCATGAAAACCAGTTGGGTGATTTGGGGCCAATCACTTTCTCTCGGCCCATAATGCAATTCTCAGGTGACAAGGCAGTCAGATAATTCCTTTTGCAGCTACTGGATCAACTCTCAATTGATTGGAAAAAAGCAGATTGTGCACTTGCAGGAAAACACTAGAAAGGGAAAAAAATAGTCACTATTTGTTTGCATGTGTTCTTGCAAAAGCATTTGTAATATTTCACTCTAACCCTAGGCAGGATGACTAAACCTCAATTCTCATTTTGAAAGTTAAAATGTGAAGCTTGAATAACAAATATCGCATTTTCTTGTTCCAGGGTTTGTAATAGTGTTTTTTAAAGTATCCTACTAATATTTGCTATAATTCTGAAAAGAAATTCAAGAGGTATTCATTACATCCAAAATGGCACATGAGTCCCCAGTTGCTTTTAGTATAATATTCATGTGGCTAATATAAGAATTAATTGCCTGTAAAAACATTAAATTAAACAATTTTTAAAATTCAAGAAAGCCCTTTTTATATTCTTATGTCAAGAAGGATGTTTCCATGCAAGAGCATCTGAAATGTATCTATAATATAGTTCTGATTTTTATGTCAATGTTTCCCATGCTATTAAAGTTTTGAATCATTCATATGAAACTTGCACATATTTTAATTTTTTTTCACCAAATGCAGACAAGCACCTGCCATATTACACCCCAGATTTAACAATTGTCAATAAGACAATTGGATATGGCAGTACTTGAAAACAGCAGATTAGAAGAAGAGAAGAGAAAAAACTGGAGAAATTCACAAAATGCAAAGGCCTGCAAATAGAAGTAGAATAATATGGCAAAAGAAAGCAAATATAGTAGTACCAATTTAATAGGGGCCTTAGGTGGAATCCCAAAACATCTAGAGCTCCACTTGAACACCCATCGGCATTGGCAAAATCATGAGTCAACTGTAAAAGGCACCTTAACTTGGAACAGGTTACATCATGCAATGATACCTTTAACATCAAATAACAACATCTGCCTATGCAAGTCCTTCAGAAGGAATCAATGGGTTAATAAAAATGCCAAATCCAGTCTAAACATTTTTCTGATTATGCAAACAACCATAATAATAATTTGAATCAAAATAATTTCAAAAGAACAATTTTAATCAAAATTGAAAGATTATGGCATAAATTGGCTATCACGATCCCAGTGGTTGTTTATACACTGGGTGCTATACCAAAAAAACCTTCCAACTAAAACTCTGACAGCTGATAATGAACCACTTCTAGAAACAGAAAAATCAGTCTCTCTCTGTCTCTCTCTGTGTCTGTCTGTCTGTCTGTCTGTCTGTCTCTCTCTCTCTCTCTCTCTCTCTCTCTCATTCCCTCCCTCCCTCTCCCCCTATCTATCTATCTATCTATCTATCATCTATCTATCATTTATCTATCTATCATCTATATATATATATATATATATATATATATA